CCCCAAAACCCCCAAAACCCCAAAACCCCACTACTTTGCTAAGAAGTAGAATTGGCGGAATGTATTAAGCAATAAATAAAATTTTCTAATTAATTATTTAAAGATAAAGCTTTGATAATGAACAAGAAGTAGCCAGATTACGACGAAGAGAAACAAGGTTTACTCGCCAAGGAAAGTAAGTCACAATTCCCCCATGCTACAGTCATGTTCTAACCAAAATTCTTTAGAGGGACGCAATCAGGATTCTCAGTCAGACATGAATCAGAAGGGCAGCTTAGCAGGTAACGCCGGAAGCTCGGCAGCTCTTCAGCGATCCAAAGACCCAAATCAGACAGCCGGGTCAGACCTGAATCCCCAGCCCCTGAGGACATTCAATGTCAACAAGATAAAGTAAAACTCTCTCGCCTTCTGCAACAATCAGATCACCACATCGAAATACACCGTCATCACTTTCTTACCCAAGAACCTCATTGACTAATTCTCGAAATTAGCAAATATATATTTCCTACTGATGATGATTTTGCAGGTAAATAAACTAACTCTTTTATATTTATATAATGGATACGGTTTTTCCAATATACAAAACTTCGTCCCAAGCAGTTATTAACTCTTTTTATAGACCATCCCTCAAGTTTCTATCACTGGGGGACAACCTACTATCCTGCTACCTCTCATGTTCGTTATCACTGTTTCAGCTGTAAAAGATATTTTTGAAGACTTAAAAAGACACAGATCAGACAACTAGGAAAACACAAGAAAAGTCTTAAAACTAGACAAAAAAAACAAGAAATTCGTATTGGACACTTGGAAGAATCTCAGAGTAGGACAAATCGTTTAAGTTCTCCAAGACTAATACTTCCCCGCAGACATGGTTCTCGTTAGATCAGCAAACTCAAATGGAATTGCCTACATAGAGACTAAGAACTTAGATGGTGAAACAAATCTCAAGTTGAAGTCCGCTGAAAAAGATATTTAAACTCTATTTGATAACCCAGAATCAGCCACCACCTTCAGAGGACAGGTTGTTTGTGAGGCTCCAAATGATCAACTCTACAAGTTTGAGGGTTCGATTACTACTCCATTTGGTAAAACCGTACCACTTGACCACAATTCTTTGTTGCTTAGAGGTACTTCTCTTAGAAATACTGAATGGATCTATGGTCTTGTAGTCTACACAGGTCACGATTCCAGAATTATGAAAAACTCTAGCAAATCAAGAACTAAGTTTTCAAAGTTAGAGAACTAGACTAACATGTAGATTGTACTTATCTTCTTATTCTAGATCCTTATCTGTATTGTTGGAGCATCCTTCAATATGATGTGGACTCTCAGAGTAGGTCAGTTTTATCACCCTTACTTGCATTTGGAGAGCACTGATGACGTAGATAAGGACTTCTGGTCTGGTTTATTCGCAGATAGTGTCACTAGATTCGGTACCTGGCTTCTTCTTTTCGCGTAAGACTTTCAAAGTACCTCTTTTAACATTATTATAGCAACTTTGTTCCTATTTCACTTATTGTGACATTGGAAGTCGTGAAGTTCCTTTAAGCTCAGTTTATTCAATGGGACGCAGACATCTATGACTCCACAAAGGACCTCCCAACCAAGGTACAAACTTCAAACCTCAATGAGCAACTCGGCCAAGTAGACTATGTCTTCTCCGACAAGACTGGAACCCTCACTCAAAATCTCATGGAGTACAGAAAGAACTCTATTGGCAAGTACTCCTATGGAGTAGATGATGTTCACTGCGACGATGCTGCTGCCAAGGATGTTACTAACTTCAACTTGAAAGATGAAATATTTGAAGCACACATGAACGATAAGACTCACCCTAACTACAAAAACATTCAAAGATTCTTAACTCACTTAGCTGTTTGCCACACTGTAGTTGCTGATGTCAAGGATGGCAAAATTCTTTACAATGCCTCATCTCCTGATGAGCTTGCTCTCGTTAATGCAGCTAAATACTTTGGATATTTCTTCAAGGGAAGAGATGATGATAACAATATTGAAGTTGAAATCTTAGGAAAAACTGTTAAATTCCAATTACTTGGAGTTATCGAATTCAGCTCAGACAGAAAGAGAATGACTGTTATTGTTAGAGATGAATAAGGCAAAATCAAGGTTATGTGCAAAGGTGCTGATAGTATCGTTCAAGCCAGACTTGCTGACACTCCACTTAACTAAGAACTAGAGCCATTCACTATCAAGTACCTAGAAAACTACGCCAACGGTGGTCTCAGAACTCTACTCTTGGCTGAAAAAGAAATCTCAGAAGCTCAATATGACCAATTCAAGGAAGAATACAGAATTGCTGCTACTGCTGAGAAAGATAGAGAGAACAAAGTCAATGCAGTTGCTAGTGAACTTGAGCAAGGATTCGAAATAATTGGAACCACTGCCATTGAAGATAAGCTACAAGACGACGTAGACAAGGCAATTTCAGCCATGAAAAAGGCTGGTATTAAGGTGTGGGTTTTGACTGGAGATAAGATTGAAACAGCTATTAACATTGGATTCTCTTGCAAACTCCTTAACGATAAGATGGAGCTATTTGTCATTGATGCAAAGAACAAGAAAGCCATCAAAGAGTAAATTGCTAAAGCAAGAATGAATCAAATTATCTCAGAGGGCATTAGAACAACTGCAACAGTAGTATCTGGAGAGTCACTATTTAAGATCTTAGCGGATTAAGATATTGCTCAAAAATTCTACAAATTAGCTAGTTCCAGTTCAGTGCTTATCGCATGCAGAATGTCCCCAAAGCAAAAAGCTGATATCGTCAGACTAGTTATTGAGAAAGATCCCAAAGCTATCACCTTAGCTATTGGTGACGGAGCCAATGATGTTAACATGATTAACGCTGCTCATATTGGAGTTGGAATCAGTGGAGTTGAAGGTCAACAAGCTGTTTCAGCCTCAGACTACGCTATTGGCCAATTCAAGTATCTTAAGAATCTACTCTTCGTTCATGGAAGAGAGTCATACAGAAAGAACTCCTACCTAGTCTGCTACACCTTCTACAAGAATGTCCTTTTCGTTATGCCTCAGTTCTGGTATGGATTCTACTCTGCATTTTCCGGTCAAGTTTTCTATGAGAAGTGGATCTATCAAGTCTTCAACATTACTTTCACTGCCTTCCCACCAATCATCTTTGCCATCTTCGACCAAGAACACAGCAGACAAACTCTCATGCAACTTCCTAAACTCTACAAGATTGGCATCAGAGACCAGTGCTTCAGTACTCTTGGTTTCTGGAAATGGATCTTGTATGGTCTCGCCCAATCAGCTCTAGTATTCTACGTTTCCTTCGTTACATTCAACACCAACAAATCTCTCCACAACGGCAACAATGGAGATATGTGGATATCAGGAACCTTCGCCTATGGTGCTATCGTTATTTGTTGCAACATGACCATCCTTTACGGTTCATTCTCCCACACTATCTGGTCAATCTTAATCATTATTGCTTCAGTTGGCTCCTTCTACGTTGGCTTCTTCCTCTTGAGTTACCTTCACTTGCCAACTCTTGACAGAATGTTCGAGGAGATCATTTCCTACCCAGTGTTCTACTTGAATCAACTCCTATTTATCTTCTTAACCTTCCCAGTTGACAGATTCCTCTACTTTATTTCAGAATCAAAAAGAGAATCAGTTGATTTTGAGGAGAAGCAAAAGAAGCACGAAAAGAAGAAGCAATTCACAAAGGGTATCGATCTTAGCAAACTTGCTCCAGTCCACAGATGTAAGTTACTCATTTTTTATATGAAATTTGCTTTTAGACACTGGTTTCGCTTTCTCTGGAGATGCTGGAGCTGCTCCTTAGATTACAGATAAACTTATGAGAGCAACCACTAAACTCATGACTGCTTAGAGACTATTGCCAGCTATTAAGAGCGGTCAAAGATGAGAAGCAGAAGAACATCTGAAATCAACAGACTCATATAAGTAAGGTTTCACTAAGTTCTAAGTGGTAACTTAGTAGTGATTAAAGTAACACTTAATTTATTATAAAGATTAAAAACAGCTAAAGTATATACTAATAAGATTATTCTTAACATTCATAAATTATTTGATTTTAAATTATTAATGCTATTATAAGATTTTATCTAATTAAATATAAAATCACTGTTTATATTTTCCCTTCTATTTATTTTTGCTTGCTCAACTAAAAATCCTAGAGTACTTCTTTTGTTCATTCTCAATAAACTGCTTTCTAATTTGCTTGGCTCTAATCAATTCATTCTTGCCTTCTTAGTAATTTGGGTCTATTTTTGTTAGTTCTTAAAACGCATTTACTGCATTATCGAATTCCTTAAGCTCTAAATAGGCTTTACCTCTGAAATAATAACACTTTATATTATTTGGATCCATATCAATGACTTAATCAGTAATGCCAATTATACTCTAATACTCTTTGGTCTTATACTTGCACACAACTAGGTTCATAAAACTAAGGATCTTTTGCTTTTTCAATTCATCTTTTACTTTATCAAAATCTTCATTTTTACCTTCTTCTTTAGCATGATCATTATCTACGTCACCAAAGTTGTAATGGCCATTTATCTTTTGGTAAATTCTAGCAGCCTTCTTGAAATTTCCTGCTTTAAAGAATTCACTAGCAGTAGTCTTCAATGTGAGAATTCTATCTAGTTTGCCTTAAACTTTGAGTTAGTAAAAATATACTGGCTTATCAACATCTACAAGGCATAGTAAAATTTAGACCACATCTGAATTCTCTTCTTTTAAGTCTTTAAAGAGTTCATTCTGGTTGAAGTATTGATTAGGGAAGTTTGTTGCTAACTTATCAAAGTGACTTCTTAAGACAAGCTCAGTTACTTCATTGCGCTTCATTGATTTTAAGACCTTAATCAAGACTGAGGGTAAAACATACTTGTCAAGAGTAAAGGAATATAAAGATTCGTCTTATATAAGTTCATTTATCTGTTCTTCATTCATATTCAACTGGTTGTAGAGTTCTTTTGGGTCTCCCTCAGAGAAGTTATTTAGTTTAACCTCGCCATTCACAGTTATTCTCATCCTCACTATCATAATATTAATAGAGAAATGTTACACTTGATATTAGAGTCAATGTTAGGACTAGCATTCTTGCCCTTCCTAAGTATGCGCTTGTGGCATTTGTCATCATTGAACCAATCTTCAACTTTCACGTAATCATGTAGCTTAACCTCTACAATCAGATCTCTATCTTCTTTGAATCTCTCACCAAGTCTATAGAACAACTTCTCGTCTTCTTCCTTGATAAAACTACTTTGAACCTAGATTGTTGAATGTTCTCCCCGTTTGCAAGATTCTAGAATTTTCTTGAGAGTTAAAGTAAAGTCATCATGGCTCATTTTTGTATTTCTGTTTTCAATGCTAAAAAGAGGCAATTATTGGTCATAATAGTAACTCATAGAGATCAAGACTTCATCCTTTTCTGAGGGCTTCTCCCATTCTCTTTGGCTTGGCTTAGTCAAAAATGTTTTCATTAGATTTCCGTTAGCCTCAATGTCAACTCTTTCAACCCAATCTACCAGTCTGACTTCATAAATTATTCCTTTAGTCATAAGTCTCTCCCTCTTCTCACCTTGCTCCTAATATCCTACAGGGAATTTCAACTTGTCAACATTTTCCTTTCTTCCGAATCCGTACTTCTTCTTTATCTTGATTTTTGCCTTCTCTCCTTGTCTCATTTCTTGAATGCCCTTCCATAGTCCTTCTGGCCAAGAGATATCTCCAAGCCCTATTTGAATCAGCTGTCCATTAGATGAATCAAAGACAGTGTGATCGTAGAAGTAGGCATCATAACTGATACGACATAGGTAATTCAACTTTGGTTTCTTCACTCCAGTGCCAACCTAAAATTAAAAGTATTAAAATCAACTAAGAGTTAAATCTCAATAGTAAAAATGAAAGTGATGACGAATCCTTACATCAACAATTTCCTTCTTAATCTTATTGTCCCAACCTATGTTTTGTATCTCTCCAACCTTTTACTCAGGAGGATCTAGCATTGAATCAGAATCTTAGCCACCTATAGCTCAAAGGTAAATACAAATCAAAGGCGTTCTTACCATCGTCAGTTGGTTGGTTTGAAGATGCCTCTTATTCCTCTCCTTGCATAGCCACATCATCATTATTATTAGTGGTACTCTCGACAATAGGTGTTTCGTTTTTCAACTCCTCTTATAAATCTTGATTTTAGTCGCTGCTCATTTTAAATTTAATATTTATGGAAATTTCTATCAAATTAAACTAGAATATTCCACTAGAGGGGTTTTGGGGTTTTGGGGTTTTGGGG